TCCCAGAGTACCTGTCTGCTCACGTGCTAAGTCGCTTCAGCCATGTCCAACTCTTTGTGACCCTTTGGACTGCAGTTCTCCAGGCTCCTCTGTCCACAGGACTCTCCAGGCAAGAATCCTGGAATGGGTTGCCATGCCCTCCTCCAGGGGATCTTCCTGACCCAGGGATCGAACCTATGTCTCTTAGGTCTCCTGCCTGCAATGGCAGGCGGGTTCTTTACCACCAGCGCCACCTGCGAAGCCCAAAAACCCACCCGTCTGTGGACTGTCCATCATCTCTCTGTCAGCCCAGCTTTGGGTCCCTGAACTGCGTCCAGATTTGAAGACAACCCTCTCAGTAGATGTGCTCTCTTCCTCTGCTGCCTGCTCCACCCCTGGAAGCATGAATCTCAGCAGGGGCATTCCCCCAGCACTAAAAAAACCTGGGAACCGAAAACAGCTGCCCTCCCAGCACAGCCAGTCCTTGGTGAAGAAAGAGTGCCCTCTAGTGGGCCTTGTGTGGAGGTGCTCTGGATCGGTGGCAGGGCTCAGCCAAGGACAAAACGGCCCGCTTGCTGCCCTCCTGCCAAGGATCTTGAAGCTGCCTTCGGGTTTGGTTTGTTTTTCTCCGTGTGTGGAGAAACAAAGAAGGAACATCAGGAGACCAGTTGTGAGAGCAGCCCCGACTGTGCTGTGACAGCCTTCTTATCTTGGGAGGCTCACCAGAGAATTAACCTCAGGGCCAGTGATGGCAGCAAGGTAGATGGTGACATCAGATGCTTTTTAAAGGGCCTGTGACAATTTCTGTATACATCACTCACCTGTCTTGACCGGTCTCTCATATGAGGGGTTAGATTTGTGAGAAGGAAACTCCTTCTTTAAGAATCATTACCGAAAAAGTTAAATATCTTGTTGCATGACCCTCTTTGCAGAGCAAATCCACTGCAGTTGATTTTATTTTTGGTAATGGAAGAGTACCAATCTCACTATTAAAATCCTGTATGTACTGGCATAAACAGGGGTTTTTCCCTTTAAACCTGAGTAAAAGCTGTCGGGCTGGGGAGCAGAGAGGGGAGGAGGCGAGGGAGGCTGCAGGGCGCCCATCAGGGGAGCAGGAACCTGATCACATGTGATGGTTGCTGGATTAGGTAACAGCTCCGCTGGTTGAAATTGGATCTTGGAGGATGAGTGTTAACATCTCTGGTGTCCTGGTGAAAGGTTCATTTGAGACTTGCGTGGTGCCACAGAGATAAAAAAAAGAGCTTTTAAATAATCATTTTGTCTCCTATTTGGCAGAGTGCTGGCTTCAAGCAGTAAATAGGTAGCATCACTTTGGCTTAGACATATCGGCCTTTTCATTTATTTATTTAATGTGGGTGGGATTTTTTTTAACCCACTAGCTGAACAGCTTCCCATGTCAGTGACTCCCAATGCCCGTCTTTATAGTGGTGCATCCAGACCCTGCTCTTTTGGAACAGAAATCTGTCCATGATGTGTGGTTTACTGGCCCATCTGGGCCTTGTCGCAGCACACATACACAGCCCAGGACCCTCAGAGCCAGAATCTTCTGTGTTAGATAATGGAAGAGGAAGGTTTTCTTTTGTTTATATTGCATGCGTGTGTACGAATAGTTTTTGTGGTGGTGGTTCTGATACATACTCTGAAATTTCTGTCTTCCTAATGATTTGAGTATAATTTGAGGGGTATAATGTGGAGAGGACTGTTGGGTTTGTTTTTCCTACATTTTCTGTTCTTTTATTTTCTTCAAATCTCTGGTTTGGGGCCAATTTATGTGTCCTGAACTCTAAGGATAAATGCAAGCAAGGTGCATTTCATTTCTTTCATAACTATTCCTTCTTGGCCACATTTGGAAACCTATTATATTAAATCTTAGTGATTCCAAATTTCTTTTTAAAGAGCGTTTGTTTCCAGGACTCATCAAATGATAGGAAAGCTAAGCAAAAGGATAGCACTGTTACTGTGTGGTGTTTCTCCCCCTACTAAATGTATCCAGTAGTGTAGATTAGGGCTTTGCCCTCTGTGACTGTCCTGGGACTTCTTTGGCGGGTAGGGCATTTCATGTCTGTTTTCAGTGTCCTTGGCAGCTTTAGCATTTCCTTTATTTCATTTAAAAGCAGTTCGATTTTCAGATCAAGAAAAATACTGAGCAGGTAGGTGTACAGACTTTGTGTGGACAGTTCGTGCTCCCCATTGATTGTTTGAAAGAAAAAGTGAGGCATGGATGTGGGTGCAACTGAGGAGAGCTGGCAAGGGAAGATATTCTTTGAGGTAAATGTTGGGCACATGGGAAGTTCCAGGAGTAACATGACCACCTGGTCACCCACCTCGTACCTGGAGGACTCAGCACCAGCACTTTGTCTGTCTGCCCGACTCCTTTTCTGTCTCATTCTTTTCAGAACTAATGGAATTTTGCTAGAGGAATAAGTTAACGGGGTGAGTGAGTCGGTCTTAGCGACCATCCTTACCATCCCCTCGGATAAGACGGTGTGTGGGTAGCCCCAGGAAAGTATATCCTCACCCGTTGACATTATTCTCTTTTACTTTGCTACCACTGTTGAGACCTGTCAGTGCTGGATCTGTCAGGAAGAATTGTTTTGGAGTGATGAGGAGGAGCCGCTTGGAGGCGTCACGGCCCGGCTCAGATGTCACCAGCCTCAGCATCTTGAGGAGGTTTCCCATCGGCCGAGGTTTGTGGCCTCTTCTGGGGCGTATTGGTCAGGGGATTCCAGAGAGTAGATTACTGTCAAATTTTGCCCCAGCACCAATTTTTTTTTAATGACTAAGAAGAAGTGCCACAATTACCAAGTGGCTCAGAGGTGATTCTTTTTTCAGTCTTAAATGACCCATAGGTATTTTGTTGATAAAGCAGTTAAAATTCATTCAATGAAATTCACTGGGGAAACATCCATAAACCCCGCACACTAATGTCCTCACCTGAAAGCATTCTCTGGGCTGTACAGGTGAGGGAGGAGCGGTTCCGGGGCTCTAGCACCACCTGCTTGGGGGGTCACATTCTTCTCCCCGCCACCCCACACCTTTAGGGGCTGGTACTGCAGCATTCATTTCCTTTCTTAAGGAAATCTTTGTTAATGGTGATATGTTCTTCTGAGGACTTTGGAGATTTGAGTAAGTAAGTTCAAGGAACTGAATAACATGATTAAATCTTTCTTATTCTGAGATCAGGGGGACAATTTCCCATGTAAGGCTTCTGAGTCTACAAAAGAGGGATTTCCTTGGAAAAATGTCCACAAAATTAAACTCCACAATCCTCTAACCTGTGCTGTTACCAATATAGCAATTTTATTTTAGGGCAGCAGAACATTAAAAATTCAGTTGCGAGAGGAGAGCCTGGGTCCTGAAGTGCGGGCTGTTCTGTATCCTTCTTTCTTCCCCAGCTGACTACCTTACCCAGGCCCTCCTGTCCCCTCCTCCTGAATTTTCTCGCTTCCTCAAGGGGTGCGTGTGTCTACCCCGGGCCTTTAAGCTGCCGCCCCAGTCCACGTGCTTGACCGTCCATTTGACTGTCTCGTGTTTCGCAAAAGCAATGCTGCCATTTTCCTTTAGCGCAGGACTCAGGCTTTCCGTGAAACAACTTTCAAGGTTGCTTCTTGTCAGACCTGTTAGAAGCCAGGAGCATGTGGGCACAGCCAGCAGTTACGCTGGTATTACAGGTGATGGGATGCCCCGAACGTCTGCCTGGCCCCTGGGTTGAGCTCAGATCCGCCTTTCCTGTCACTGTCCCCGTGGGGCTCAGCAGATGCATCCTGGCCAGACGCAGTTCTGGGCCTGGCCCCCGGGCTCTGCCATCTCCACGCCCAGGGTTAGAACCAACACAGTCTGCTGCTTCTCCCGTTACAGCCCTCCTTCCCTGCTCTACCCGCAGTTTTGTTTTTTTTAATTGGATACTTTTTTCCTGTTCACTCTCAACAAAGACGTGGCTGCTACGACTAACCTGGGTTTAGACGAGTGATTTACTCTATGGAAGGTTGTATGAAGGTAGTAAACGAGACTGCCTAGCTCTTCCACTGGTTTACTAAATCACTTGATCCCTTTCAGTCCAAATCACCCCTTCCTCCCCCACAAATGGTCGTGGGGGATTCATAAAAAGGAGCCCTTCGTGGAGCCGAGCCTCCTTCATCCTCTCAGAACCCCAGCTTCTCTGAATCCCTGAGGCAGCTTGTTTAAAAGATCTCACCCTTGTTTGTACCAGGACGGAGTTCTTACCACCCGGAATAAATTGATCTCAATTTTGGAAAATAGAAATCCCTAGTCCAGGGGAGAGGTCTTCACACATCACTCAAATTAACTGAATTTGCCTGACTTAGGTTATTTTGGAAATGAAAATTTAGGCTGATCCAATATCATAAAGTCAATGAGTGCAAAAACTTTGTAATAACAAACTCACAGGCATCTAAAATTAGAAATGAGAAAGGAAATGCTATTCCTTGAATTAAAATTTGGCAGTTTGGGGATGAAAGTGAAAATTATATTCTGTTATAATTTTTTTTTTGTGGATTTGAAATTTCTTTCAATTGTGGTAAAATATACATAACAAAACTTAGCATTTTAACTGTTGTTGACTGTACAGTTCAGTGGCATTATGTACATTCACATTGCTGGGCAGCCGTCCATTTCAAGAACTTTTTCATCTTCCCAAAATGTAACTCCATACTGGTTCATTATTCCTTCCTTATTCCCCGCTTCTCCCAGCCTGTGGTACCCACAGGCCTGCTTCCAGTCTCCATCAGTTTGACTGTTACAGGCACCTCATATGAGAGGAGTATAATTAATTTCAGAAACAAATCAATCTCTCCTTGCATTTTCTAGTCCTCCCATCCCTCTCTTTTTCCAGCCCTTTGCACGCTCATTGCTCAGATACCGTTTTGTTAAATAATCTGAGACTTCAGCCAGATCATATATGGGGAGTTTTCTGTTGATTTTAAATTTTACTTCGTTGGGTTACTGTCAACACCTCCCCACTCTTTTGTATCTTCCTGCAGTTTTGAGTATCCGGGGAGCCCAAGAAGAGGAGCCCACAGACCCCCAGCTGATGCGACTGGACAACATGCTGCTGGCCGAGGGGGTGGCGGGGCCTGAGAAGGGCGGAGGCTCCGCGGCGGCTGCTGCGGCGGCGGCTGCTTCTGGAGGCGCAGGTTCCGACAACTCCGTGGAACATTCCGATTACAGAGCCAAACTCTCACAGATCAGACAAATCTACCACACGGAGCTGGAGAAATACGAGCAGGTACTCACAGCCTTGTGGGGTCTGGGCCCTCCCCAGCCCTTTAGGGCAGGGCGGAGAAATCATGCAACTCCGAGCTAGGAGGGGATGGAGGCAGGTAGCCTTTCCTGGAGATGGCCATCCGGGATCCAGTGTTTCTGGCTTCCCCCCAGAGCCGCTTTTTTGAACTTGAGCCCATCAAGTCCAGGGTCTCCACTATTGAAAACTCAGGCAAACTGGAGATAAGATCATTTAAAAAAATAGTTTTAAAAAAATAGCTTTAATTGATAATTTTAGGAAACTGAGTCTATATAAGGAAACAGCCCCTGGCACTCCAGAGCGCTGTCCCTTGGGTGCAGCTCTGGGGCTCTCGGTGTGATAGTCACGGGCAGAGTCACCAGCTGACCTGGGGAGGTGTGTGTGGTGGGGGGTCCCCTGGGCCTTGTTTTCGCATTGATTAGGAGGCTACCTCACCACCCGGGGCTCATGGAAGCCTATGGGAATGGATACTAAAACTTGACCTTAAATTCCTTCACTCTGCTCAGATTAGTTCAAATGAAAGTCCATCATACTCTGACTTTTATATATAGTACATAATATGATACACATCTCCCGCTATAAAAAAAAGTCGAGGGTCTCGGGGGACCTCTGGAGGTAGACAAAGTTGAATTCCAGCCCTGACAGTACTGACGGTCTGTGGGATCCAGTGGTCCACCTTCTCTACCTCCGTAGCTGGTAGTATTCAGCAAAGAGCTGTGGATTTGGAGCCTAAGCTATCAGAGAGCCATAAAAAATCATATGAAGGAAAAGCTTAAGAAAGGCTGTTAAGTCATAAAACAGTATATAGATGTTGCATGGTATTCTAATTATAACAGCACCCCTCTCTGCTAGAGCACCGCCCCCCCACACACATGAATTTAAATGTCAATATTGTTTCCTCTGGTCAGTATGAGCAACACTATTTTACTAGGGGTCCTTTAACATCAGGATTTCCTCCCATTATTTAGCTGACATTAGTTGGTTGTCATATTGTTGGATGTGACATTGTCCTGAAATTCTAAGTTAACGTACTTTCATAGAATTGTTAGATTTCTGGCTTTCTTTCTTTTTTAAGAATCATAGAAGAAGAGGGAGAAAAAAAATCATAAAGTAGAAGACCCTGTACCGTCCACTTAGGACTGTCTAAGTAAAAGGCAAATGCAAACTTAATAGAATATATAAATTTTAAAATAGAAATAGGCATTTTAAAATTTAAAGTGAAGAAAGTTTCATTATTGCACTCCTATCTACCTTTGAAATAGATTTCTACAAAGTCTTTTCTTTTATGAGGGAAAAGATTACTATGAAGCTGGAAGCCAAGTGTGGTGAATTTCAGCCACAGGACAGGTGTAGGGAGGAGTCGAGGGGAGCAAAATAAAAGTCATTTTGTGGTAAGAACCAGTGGATCATCACCCTCGACCCTCTCGGGGAAGAACAAACATTCTTATCATGATGTAGACTCTTTAGACATTTTATCAGATCCCAGGAGAGGCTCAGCTCAGGTAAGCTGGCTGATCCATGACAATTTCCCCTCCTGGGCCATCACGTTAGAGTTCACAGCCTGCCCTAACCAAGGGGATAGTTTCAGAAGACTCACGGGGACGTTTCCTATAAAGGTCCCTAGCTAGCCACTTGGGTTCTTCCTCCCGTGTGTTTCCTATTGTACCTTCACCACTGAGCTTGGTCTCTGGCATAACAACCTATCTAGACCTGGTATCCAGGTTAACTCATCCCAAACTCCAGGGGCACAAAGAGTGTGGCTTCCTCCCAAACCTACAACTGAGATGGATATTAGGCTGGATGGTGTTAAAAACTAGCTTTCTTCGTAGCTCAGGTTGCCAGCAACAAAGAGAACAGACTGTCTTCTTGATTTAACCCCGCCTTGTTCCTCTTCCATCTTCTTCCAAAATGTCTAAAGCACTTTTATCAACCTAACTGCACTTGTTCCAGCACTTTTATGGGTGTCATCATCTCCATTCTGATACAGGTGAGGAAATAGAGGTCAGAGAGGTTACATGATTTATCTGGGTCATACATCCAAGGAGGGACAGATTACCCTGGAATCTAGCTTTGGACCTTTAGCCCAAGGCTGTTATTGGAGCAACACTCAGCTCCACTTAATATGGAACGAGTGTGGGTGTCTGTAGACAATGAAGTAACTGGCCTGTCCTCGCTGGTACTTTCATGGAATAGATTGATGCTCTCTAAGAGAGACTAGTGATAAAAAATACTCTCCTTAAGAACCTTCTCATAGATACCTACATGTTCTGAATAACAACAATGCTGGAAATTGGGAACTTACACTGTATCCATTTTGCTGATGGGTGGGGCTGCATTCCCTCTCTGTTACTAGTTTGGTCTGAGGTGACCCAGTCCTGAAGTCTGCAGGCTCGATGGATGGAAGGGTTAATGGCGACCTCTGGGAGGATTTACGTCAACACGCGTCTCCCACAACTGCTGCCGCCAGTGTCCCGTCCCTGTGGTGGCCGCTATTGACCCGCGCCTCTGCAGGAGGCCCTCAGACCTTCACCGGCAGGTCTAGTTCAGTCTCTTGTGGGATCAAGTTAGGTCAAGGCAGCAGTAGCAGTCTGTATTTATTATTCTTAAGAAGTACTAAGAGATTATTGCCTTGTTTCTTTGGGCATTTTCTGGGTAGGAACTGAATACTGTTTAACACACTGTGTGCTTAATAATTTATTAATATTAGTTGTATTGTTAATTAGAGTAAATGGCAGATTGTGAGGAAATTATGCCATTAACCTTCTAGCTAGTAAGTCTGAAAGACAGATCTTCTTCATTTTTTCTGTAAGCATTCCTCAAGGGACCTTTTTAAAAAATAGGAAACCTTAGTAAAAATGTCAGTCTCTTTTAATAGTACCTAGATGGTTACCGGATTGACTATTTAAGAGTTGATTCTGTTGTTTTGGTTTGTTTTGTTTTTAGCTTGGTGATGATAGATAACCAGAGGATCTATTAGCTCTCCAGTAATTAACTGGGGTAACCCTCGTCACCCCCTCTCAGTCATCGTGTGCTCCCCGCAACCCCCGCCAAAAAGACCTGAATCAGCCACTGTTTCACCCTGAGGTTATTAGATAAAGAAGGCTTCTAGTGACTTTCATTAGAAAGAAAGGAAGGAAATTGTTTTCTTCATTAAAAAGGGCTGGTAAACACCTTTTCAGTCGATCATGTTGGTAGCTGAGGTATTTAAGAGCTAGCTAAAAAAAAGAAAGCTGGCATATTTTGATAGATAGAACCAGGATATCAGAAAACTAAATTTTCTTCCAAGTGCTATTCAAAAAAACAAAAAAAGATACCCTTGTAGCTTTGCAGAGTTCTTCAGTTTTTGTAAGCAGTGCTGCCAGGACATTGACAAGGCTTAGTCTCCAAGGCTGAACTGGGGGGGGGTTAAGTAGTCCTTTCACAGCCAAGGAAGTCTTAAGATCTCAGTCCTATTCCTTGCTGAAATTGGCAGCCAGATCCAGTTTGAGAGACTTAGAGATGAAGATGAGCTGGAGAGAGTGCAGGAAGGAAGCTTCAATTCTAGGATTAAATTGCTTATACTAAGCAAGATTTCTGAAGAGCTTCTTTTGGGTCGGCCGCTCCTCAAAGTGCCCCTGCCCTGGAACCTGGGATGTCTCCAGAGGCAGCTGGAGGGGTAGCTCCAGAAGACGACTGTCTTTAGGACAGTCGTCAGCAGTCTCCTCTGTCCCGGAAACCTTCAGCCTGCGAGGGCTCTATGTAATTAATTAATCACTCCCACTCCCCATTCCATCGGGAGAACCTGGCCTCACCGGAGCAGTGCAGCTTCCGAAGGTGCTGAGCTTGGGGAACTAAGGAGGCCTGGGTAGTTCAGGTCCTGGAAGAATCTGGATCATTGTTGTCTGCCCATCTAAATGGACCTGGAGTCCTGTCTGTTGTCTGCTGTGTGTTCGCAAGCAGCTGTGGAGCAGCTGCCTTGCTCCACCTCAGCAGTGGGTGAACAGACGCCACTGTCTGTTTAGGGCAGAGCAGAAAGGGGCCCTGGATCCAATGCCCCGAATAAACACCAGCTATTGTGAGTATTTTTATTCACCGTAATGAAGCACATTATTAACGGAGTACTGTGGCTTCCCAGCAGAGAGGGTGTGCCATCCGACAATACCTGCTTCACGCCCAGCCCCTCCTCACTTGGAACCCCCACCAAGTCGGGGGCGGGGTAGGACCTGCAGCCCAGCGGGGCATGCTTGCAGCACACCTCCCCGCCACTCCTCTCTGAGGCCTCAGAGGCTTCCAGCCCACTTGCTGCCAGGCTTTATCCTCCTCCCTTTGTGGTACAGCTTAGGGGTGAAGGGGCTGTTTAGGTTGGGGAGAGATGAAGCTTATAATAAGATCTTGTATTTATGTAGCAATTTTCATAGTAAGGGCAAAATGCTCTATGGACCTGATCTTCTGTGGATTTCATCTTCAGCGTATATATACCTGCAGAGTAGAAAGAAGCTATTTGTGACCTCCTTTATTTATACCACAAGGGAAACTGAAGCCTGGAGAGGTTTGCCCCACTGTGATCATATGCTGGGTTTCTGAATTACCTATACTTGAAAAAGATAAGGACACACGATATGGCCAGACACACAGCAACTTATCTTGTCCACCACAGTCTTTGAGGTACTGTCCTCCTCATTTCACAGATAGGAAAGAGAAGACACAGGGATCTTACATGACTGACCAAAGCCCCACAGCGAAGTGAGTTTCTGGGCAGGGTGTGAACACAGGCAGTCTGCGCTCTTAGCTGCTGCCCTGTTCAATGTGAGTGATTTACTCCATCCACAGGTCACCGTACAAGGAGTGTGAAGATTGCTGGCCTTGCTAAAGGGGTAGGAATGATTAAATCCACTCTTGGACAAATAAAACAAGGCGCTGAGTAGTGAAAGCAATTGCCCACATGCTCATGGAGACAGAGTCAAAGACCAGGCTTCCCAGCCCGCAGTGTAGACACAGCCCAGTGGATGTCTACTAATGTATCTTTGGCCAGCGAACCTCAAAGGATTTCTTGGAGAAGTGAACAGTGAATGTGTTACTGTTACTGTATAACCAACAGCTAGGAAGAACTTTGTGTTGTGAAAAAACAGTAGCAGTGCAGTTATAGCATTAATGAACATGATTCTGCGGTATTAAGTGGGACACTTTGAGTCCTTAGTTCTTCAACCTTCAGAGCATCAGCTTGCCTTTCTTGCTAACAAATTTTACACGGTTTTCCAACACAGCTGTGAGTTAAGTGTGAGTAAATGTTTTGCTGAATGTTCCTTAAGAAAACCAGACTACAATGATAAGTGATAGTAACTAAAGGAAAGGGCAGCAGTGGTCCAAGGAGCAAGTCCAGAGTCTGGGAGAGAACAGAAGTCTTGGCCTGGTTTAGGGAGTGTTCAGGCTGCTTTTTGCTGTGGGCCTTCATCTCTTGGGCACAGTTTTCCCAACTGTAAAATAAGGAGGTGGGATAAATGATCTCCAGTTTCACTTCCAGAGCTGATAGTATATTGGTCTATAACCTGAGAGTTTTCTGTCTGCAGAGGCATTTCCTAAATCCTCTAAATCATGTTTTGAATTTGTTTCTATACAGATTCCTTTTGTGTTATAGACATAGAGGATCTTCAGAAGACCAGCATAGAAGGGAGTTCTTATGTTACAGCTAGAAGTAGATTAATGAGAATCTCACAGAAGAGTCATCAGAGCTTTTAACTCAGTGATTCCATTCTTTGGAGTCTTTATGCCAAATTGAATATTTGGAAGCTTTAGCATAACAGAAATAAGGGCAAAGCAGAAAGTTCATGCTGTTTTTGACTTCAGATTCTCTTTAGCTGTTAACATGGGAGTGAAGGGTTGTGAAGTTTTATACTAACATACATGTCCTCATCTTTCATAATAGTAAAATCATAAAAATATTGATTTTGAAAAACTATTGTAAATTTTCTTCTCCCCTTTAAAAAAATCCACATAGTGATGAAAATTATAATCAAATGGGCTGAAAGGGGTTTCTGGGCATCTCTCTTTTTTTTTTTTTTTTTTTTGACAAAAATGCCACAAGCTAGCCCAGTTTTCTTTACTTGTACACGTCTCTAGAAAGACCTACACAGCCTCACAGCAAGGACCCTTACCACGCCCCATGTCTGTCCTCCTCCGTTCCAGGCCTGTAATGAGTTCACCACCCATGTGATGAACCTCCTGCGGGAGCAGAGCCGGACCAGGCCTATTTCCCCAAAGGAGATCGAGCGGATGGTCAGTATCATCCACCGCAAGTTCAGCTCCATCCAGATGCAGCTCAAGCAGAGCACATGTGAGGCCGTCATGATCCTGCGCTCCCGGTTTCTGGATGCACGGTGAGTGCCCAGGAGAGGGCTGTCCTTTGGGAGAACCGCCGATTCAGGGTTGGAGGCCAAGGCTGGCCCTCTCCAGAGTCCGTGCTGTGACTGTTTTCAAGGCTGAGGAGGGAGGTCAAGGAAGGGAAGGCTGCAGGGGTGGATAACCATGGGTTTTATACAACTCCAGGAAAATGTGGGGATTGGGTATTATTTGTGGCCACTGCTACTCACTCTGCATGAGAAATAAGGATGATTTAGCTACAGGGACAGAAGCAGGACTTTTTGTTTTCATACCATTAGTGGCCTCTTCACAGGAATGGGTTGTAACTATAAGCGCGTAGAAGGCTAACCAGATATTGCAATGACATCTTTTCTTCAAGAAAGATGGTTCCAGTTGAGAGCTGGGAATCTCTGCCACACTTTATGTTGGCAGAGAGGGCACCTAGTTAGCTTCAACGAATATTTGTAACTAGATTACCATGTGTCGTACTCTGGGCTGAGTTTTAGCGGCACAAAAATGAAGAAGACGTGGTCCCTTGGGCATGGAGGGGCAAGGGACTGGTCTCATGTGGGCCAGATTTTCAATCAAGATTTAAAATTTTCTGACACTGACTTGTGACCTAAGTTGTGAGTTCAAAGAATCCAGTTGAAACCATGGATAGAAAAGTCCTTTTAGGACAAAAGCTAAGACTATAGAACAGATAGTCTATAGAGATAGAACTATAGATAGTTCTATAGTTCTACACTAGAGTGTAGAGATAGAACTACTCTCTACACTAATGGATTTGTGCAAATCCCTTTGATTTCTTTGGCTTCTGTTATCTAGCCTGTAAGATAGTGCTAGTCATATCTTTCATGTACTCTAGAAAGTGGTGTTGATAATTGATCTAATACATGAGTTTTCAGTGTATGGATATCCTTTGTGATCCACAGCTCACCTTAAATTAGTCATTTTCTATAAATGCAGATTTCATCATTCATTGTTTCAATTCTTGAGTATAATCCCAATATATGATTTTTATTATAAAAACACTAGCTATGTCATGGTCATATACCATTTAATGATCTGTAGTTGAGTTCCTTTTTAGTCAGACACACAGCCTCTCTGCTTTTTCATTTTTTTCCACCCTAGAAATCATGCACTGTTCAGCTCCTTTACCTACGCTTTCCTCTGTCTGCACAACTGTGGTCTTTACAGTTCACAGACCTCTTTAAAGCTCCCTGGCATCTCCTAAACTCCCTTTCATTCATTGTGTTTTGGGTCATGTGGAATATGAAATAGGAATGTCAGCCAGCAAACTGTATCTCTGGGCTAACAGAAATACATAAAGTCAAGAGAAAGTGCAAATGAAGATAGCTTTCCGCAGCGGAGCACAGTGCTGGGGGAAGGAAGGCACAGGCCTGCTGCAGCGGGACACCCCGACCCCAGGTATCTCCCTGGCCCTGTGGCCTGCTGCCAGCCTGGCTTATTTACAGCAGGCTGCTCCCCATGGTATGAAGTGCAAGTGACTGGTGGCCTGTGTCTGGGTCTTTCCCCTGTGTTGTGGCCGCCACACTCTGCATGTGTTGTTTACATCCCCCCGCACGGTAACTTCCCTCATTAAAATGCTGGTGTTGGCATTTACGTTGGCAGATATTGGGGGCATAAAAAAGTTGGGCCCCGACTGGGTTCTTCTCAAGAAAGAAGATATTAGAGAGAAAGGAGGAGCAGAATAATTTTCTCTTAGGATTTCTTCTTTCAGGAACTCAGCTGTGCCCAGTTGAAGGTCAGACTCCAAAAGACATGAAACTAGGCAAGCTTTGTACACGGTTCCTTTCACTCCCATCAGCTTTTGCCTAGATTGTTATAGTTGGCACCAGGAGGACAGTCATCATAAGAGAGGATCTTTTTCCTGATTTGGTTGCAACCTTTGAATCATTGCCTCTGAGTCAAGGTTCAAAACTAAAACAATTAACCAATTGTCATTGTTATAGCATTTATTTTGAGGGTGTATTTAGTATCACTGAAAGAATATGACCCCAAATGCCAACACAAGGATGAGCAAATGGTTTTTCCAGCTCAAAAATGAATGTTGGCCTGGACAGCATGATTGAAGTAGTTAATATCATTGCTTCTAGCACTATCTATTATTGGGAAAGCTAGTTAAACACACTTTAGTAAGAAAGACACACTCACTGTTGATATTTACGTGCTGCTCTAATCCATGCATCTGATGGGCAGGGCTTCATTAAGAAAAGATTTCATGGAAGACAAATGAAATACAAGGGAGACTTGATTTAGTAATAGGATTAGTCTTCATAATATAATGCAGAATTAAATGTTACAGCTTTGTTGTGTAACATTCCTTGTATTTTCTGCTCTTGAAGAACAGATTATGACAAATTTAGCAGCTTAGACTAACACAAAGTTGTCTCACAGTTTCTGTTGTTCAGGAACAGCAGGTTAACCTGGGTCCTCTGCCCTAGTCTCACAAAGCTGTGATCGTGGGCTCAGCTGAGGCTGTGTTCACAGCTGAGGCTCATTCCCGTGGGGGCAGAATTCAGTTCCTTGTGATAGTAGGACTGATGTCCCCAGCTCTTAGAGGCCGCTTTCCCACTGGCAGGGCTTACTGCTTCTTCCTTTCTTCCTGGGTCATATCACCCTCTTACGGCTTTAACCTGATCTCTCATTTCATTAACACAAAGTCAGCTGATTAGTAACTGAATCGTAGGAATGATATCCTATCATTTTCACTGTCCCCCCAACACACACATTCAAGGTCAGGGGGGGTACCCCAGAGTGGAATCTTACAGATCTTCTTAGGAGTCTGCCTTCCATACTCCCCAGCTGAGCACTTAGGCCAGGTTTTGTCCACTTGAGTCATATCCTTCTTTTCTTCCTTATATTGATTTAACTGTGCCATAAAAGTTTAACTTAAAAATTCTACTCATTCATTCAGTCAACTTTTATTATTACATGTTTTGTATCAAGCATAGTGCTGTGATAAGTCTTTGAGATAGAACTTGTAAACCTTCTTAATGATTTTCAAGCAATACAATAATTTTAACTTTGATTTTTAAAAAATAACATCTTGCTGGAGAAAGCAGCAAGCACGTGGTTGGAAATATACCTCTGCACTCCACCGTTCTAGTTAAGGTTATAGAAAATGATTAAAAAAGAGGATTGTAAGAAAGGAAAGGACATCCAATATGATCTGGCTGAACTGCCACTATATTTAGATTTATTTACTTCTATAACTGAGTTTTTATTCTTCCAAATGCTGTATTAGCCTCTGGAATGACAAAGATGAAAAGAATACACGTAAATGTGGGTCCCACCTTCAAGAACTCATAATCTCCTGGGACAGGTGCTCTTATAACTGAGCATAAAGCTGCATGTAATCACAGGAAGTATAACTGCCAAATTCACCCAGAGCGGAGAGAGACTGGAGAACTGGGGAGAGGCAGACAGTGCTGAATCTCAGAGGACTGTGACATTTAACACATAGAAGGAATCACAGAAGCAAAGTAAACAACACAATTCAACTTCGACAGGCATTACTGACTGGGCTGCTTACTATGTGTTGGGCACCAGGGTTTCAAATACATGTGAAACACGGCTCCTCCCCTTGAGGATTTGCTGTTTAGTTGGGAAGACACGTGTAAAGCTGTGGCAAATGCTATGGGAGAGAAATACACAGAGAGGTATGAAGAGGCATGGGCGCATGAACGCTGTGTGTGTCTTTGGGGAACAGGGGAGCATATGATGAAGCTGGATGAAAGTAGGAAGAGCATGTGTAGGACTGGAGGGAAATGAGACCCTGAGCATGCGCTTGATCCACTGGAAGACCTTAACTGTGCCAGCAAAGGTTGTGGATTGTCCCCTGCAGCAGCAGAAACTCTGAGCTGTTTAAGGAAGGAAAAGGGGAACGTTCTCAAATTACACTGCTTGGGTTCAGATTCCTGCTATAACCCTGACTACATCTGTGATCCGGGATAAACGGCTTATCCTTCCTAAGACTCAGTTTTTGTGTCTCCAAAATGGGAATAATTCTGTACACAGGAATAAATAAGATAACATATTTATAATATAGTGTCTGGAGCATAGCATTCACACCATAATTCAGCTATAATATAATAAGGATCACTATGCTATATTAGTGTAAAATATAGTATATTATTATTGCTATCATTATTATTATTTTCATGATCAGATCCATGGTTTAGAGGAATTCCTGTGGTGATTTTCTTAAGGATTAGCTGAGGCTTGTGCTTCTCAAACTGGGGCAATACAGAATAAGTATAAAATACCTTCCCTATTTTACTCAAATATTTGGAGAGAAATATGTTCAGATAAACATTGGTATATGAAGGAATAGATTAAAGAAAGAGGTGCTAAAGACATTTAGGGCACACGATGGTGTGCCCCATGGCTGAGAGTCCATGCTCTCCTTCCAGGAGAGCTATTTGGGCATGCTTTCAGGAAAGCATCAGCCTACAGGTGTACTGTCTAGCCTGTGGCTTCTTGATTTTTATTCTATATTAATTAATATATAAGTAAACAAAATGGAAAATTTTAGCTCTCCAGTTTTACACATCTTATTTCAGCCACTCAATAGAAGCTGGCTACTCCAATAGGAGAAGAGAGAACATTTATTTTCCTCATTGTAGAAAGTGCTGTTGGACAACTTTAGTAAGGCCATTATACAATAGACCATAGTTCCTCTAAACCTGTTTCAAAAAAAGCAATGACACTGAGGATGGAACAAAAGGGATAGATTTGAAAAATAGAGCTGGTAAGACTTGCTCTGGGGCCAGTCATCCAGTGAAGGGAAAAGAGTGAGGGGAATTGAGAATCACTCCCAGGTTCTGGTGTGTGTTAGGTACTCAAATAGTTAAAGAGTGAACAAACAATTGAAGGGATGAGCAAATTAGCAAATATAATGAACTTTGTATCTATGGTGGTATTATTATATAATGTGGGAAGAAATGAAAATGAAGTTGGTTTGAGTGAAATATGATACTTGTCTTAGAAACAGTTTGTTGGAAGTGTCTGGGATATGCGGTGGCAAATGGACACAGTGGTAAATGGGGTATTGGCTCTTAGGAGAGGCATTTGGGCTCTCCTTTGATTTCAGATAACATGTTTGATGTTCTGTGGTGCCTCCACTCCTCATTCTTGAATCACTATGATTCCAAAGCTTCATTCCTAAAATTTCATCGACTTCCACGTTTCTTACACTTACCTGGATACCCAACAATCAAAGCTTGTGGTTGGCTTGAAATAACAAGTGTTAACTCACCAAGCTGAAAACACTTCCAGCCAGAGCAAAGAAACCAGGCATCTTAGTTCAAATAACCTTATTGTCAGAAGTATATTATTTTCCCTGGGTTTCTTGAAATTCTGTAAACTCATTCTGGGGTTTCAAAGGCCCTGGATGGAGACAGGCCCTGCAAGAGATGACCACTGCTGCCGTCAGAGTAGATGCGACCCCCTAAAGGAGGACTGCGCATCCCCAGGAGGAGTCAGGAACAGCTGTCTGTACAATCCCAGCACCCCAACTCATTCCAGAGAGGCTTCCTGTGAGTTCAATTGGAAGAGTCCCAAGAAATACACTGTAATGCTAGTGCAAACAACTCCCAATTAGAGGAGCCTTCAGAGGCCAATTCCCCAGGCCTAAAACAACTGTTTTCTTGAGGCCAAGAGGAAGCCAGAGGTTATCTAAAGACTAGCCTGGAGACTGGGTTAGCCACTTTTAGCTACCTTCCTCAAATTCCCATCATGCAAGAGCTTTTAATACATATTTCCTTTTTAGTTAGGCCTTTTAATCTAATCTGCCCAGTTTCTGATGCTGGGTGACCCAGAAACTCAGCATGATTTGGGAGAGTGACTTGGGCCTGGCATAATCTGGACAGATGTGGTTAATACCTATGGACAGATGGTGTTCATCCGGTAAAATCAGGCACTTTATTGTGTTAATTAATCCAAGTGGGACCCTGAAAATACAATATTAGCTGAATTTTCGGTCTAGCAAGGCGATCAGTGCTTTCCGTTGGCTTAAATTGGAAAACCTGATATCCTGGCATAACCAGGGATGTTCTGGAAATTTTTTTTTTCCCCATAAGGAAAAGGTTTTGATAAAAGCAAAAAGGCAAAAGTGCTAAGGAGCTAATTTGAAGATAGAGGCCCTGCCCCCTCGAGGAGGGCCTGCAGACAGCTGCAAGGAGTCCAGCATCACTAAGCCATCCCCAGCTATCCCCAGGCCTTAGCTGGGAAGAGGCCATAAAGTGATTCTCACTTTAAATTAGTTCAATTAGCACTTTTTTTTTTAAGCATAAAAATGCTTTTATTCAAAGAGTGGTTTTCTTCCTTTTAGCAACCTGTATGCTAAAAAGATTTCTCTGGGCTTGTATTTCACCATTTAGCAGCTGTTCCTTCTTAAGAAGTACCGTTTCTCTTCTTTTAAGGAAGGTCAAGCAGTCAGGGGGTTAATTTCCATCCCTTCCTGCCCCTTCCCCAAGCCTTTTAAAAATGTTGCATGTGCTTACTTGGGGATAGAATAGAGAGAAAATGATAACTTATTTTTAACTTATGGCTACAGAGTCTCTGTGTAATTGCCAGGAGGCAATTTGTATATAAAAAGAGGCTGGGTTTTGTACTCAGGCAGACTTGAATTAATATTTTAGCTCTGTAACATACTAGCTGAGCAACTTTTAAACTCAGCTCTTCATTGGTAAGTGGGAGTAACCATAGCTACCTCACTAGTTGTGAAAAACGAATAATTTGTGTTGATGGCTCTGAAGGATCAGATCTGAGGCCTGGGGCCTGGTAGGAAGAATCCCCAGGAAGTCCCAGCATTTGTCTTGTACTAGGCACTGTGCTGAGACCTGTCCGTATATTAACATGATCTCATTTCTCCCTTCCTCTCACCCCATGAGGTTGGTTTGACTCTTTTGACTGTCATTTGAAGAAGCTAAGGTTTGGAGAGGCATTCCAAATCACCCCGCTGGTGTTGTTTGTCTAGGGCTCAAAACCAAGATGGCAGGTTTTGAAACTTCCTGCTGCTCACCTCTCTGTATAAATAGGTGTGACTTGGGGTGGCGGCGAAAAAATAAATAAATAAAATAAGTAGGTGTGACTGTTCTGCTCAGTGTCCCACGGTGAGCACAGTGAGGAATACAGCAAACACCTTCAGAAATGCTTTCCGCATCCGGCCCCTCAGAGCACGTCTCCTCTCCTTCACTCAAAAACGTGTCTTCTCCCAAATGTGGATCCTCTCCTCTCCCTTTTTATATGTACTTGTTGTGAACTTCTTTTTTTTTTTCCCTTGTCATTGTGATTTCCTTGCTCTTTATGAAGGCGGAAGAGACGAAATTTCAACAAGCAAGCAACGGAAATCCTGAATGAATATTTCTATTCCCATCTCAGCAACCCTTACCCCAGTGAGGAAGCCAAAGAGGAGTTAGCCAAGAAGTGCGGCATCACAGTGTCCCAGGTAAGACATCCTCAGAGAACTCAGCCCAAAGCCTGGCCGTAGTGGTGTTACAGGGCAGGGTCTTGGAAGCCTGGCTTTCCTGAACTTTCATGCCTTATAAGTTCCACCAACTAAAGCCTTAAAACTGCAAGGTCAGCTCATGGTGTGTATAAGAAAGTCTCCAGGGAAGTAACCTGGAAAAAACAGCAGACATAGAAGACTTAGTGGAGTACGGTTAAGGCAGGGTTGAGCTCCTCCCTCTATGGTCCCCCTTTCTTCAGAGAGATGAGGATTTCTACATTGACTTGGAGAGCTACCAACACTTCTCAGGTCATTTTCTCACACAGAGTCAATTCCTTGGCCCTTTTTTTTTTTTTTTCCCCAACTCAGGAACTTTTTAAGAGTCAGTGAATGGAACTTTTAAATGAAAAGGACTCAAATGTCCTCTCTGGATGTCCTCACTCTGTAACTGACGGAGTGTAGGAATTTTAACATGTCACTATGATTGCACTGGAATGATTGCACAAAATGTCACTGAGTGTCCCCTTTCCCCCAAGAGCAATAACCATAACAGGTGCCTGTTGACGTGGAAAGATACATGACATAAAATTTTTATGGACCTGGAGTCTTCAGCATTAATATGAAGTAGAAAAGGAGGCAAGTTTTATATGTATCTACTTTTTTTTCTTTGGCTACACCATGTGGCTTGAGGAATCTTAGTTCCCCGAGCAGAGATTGAACCTGGGCCCTCGACAGTGAAATTGCTGAGTTTTAACCACCGAACCAGGGGATTCCCATCTACATTTTGTCTACTCAGAGAATCCACCCATACTTCTTATTTGATCTGAACCTCAAATGCCAACACCAGTCTCAAGTTGAGACCAGTAGTGATAGTTCTGAAATCTCTCAGAGAAAGTTTTCCTCAGAATTATGTCACATGCAAAAGAATTAGATGTACTGGTATTTACAAAAAGGGTGAGGGTGAGGGGGAATTGGAGAGAAGAGGCCTACTTTAGTAAGAAACTTCACTTAACATTTTCCAAAAGAAGTAGATGCTGTTTTGTGAGCATCTAGGCTTCCTTGAATTGAATCCTGGCTTCTGCTACTCCCACCAGGTGCTGATTCCTTCAGCCTGTGTTTAGCTTAAGCAGAATTAGGTCTAGTCAGAATAAAGAACTCCACACAGAGGATCTGCAATGAAGATATTGCCAGGGTCTCCCCAGCATGCTGTGGGTGATTTTGCAGCAGTCTTGAAAACCTCCTTTCAGATAAGTTAGAAAGGATTGCCTTATCCTTTTCAACTTGTACCTTCCTCAGGTACTTGGTCCCAGCTGAAGGTCGTTGCCAGTCTTGGCAACCCTAGGGCAGTAGGACATCAGTGGTCTAAATTCAGGTGGTCTGGTATTACTTAGGTTTCTAACCATTCTTGTCCAAATCTAGACCCATTGTCCACAAGAAAAGATAATTAATGTTTTTTGATACTTGCTGCATTTTTGCAGAATAGTTCCAGGTGTGAACCACATCACAAACAGTGAATTTTAGTCACAGGGTATTCTGCTATTAAAGCTGAAAATCATTATATTGTTTGAATTCAAAATCTGAGACTTGGAATTCCAAATCCCTATTGAAATAGAAGGAATTTTCCAGGATCTAGTCTGCATTGTATCTGAATAAAAAATGGAATCTTGGCCTATTCCAGCAACCTTTGCATCCTTCATTAGGGAAATCCAGGGTGCAAATAGTTTGTTCATTGAAGTGATTTGTACGTATATTGCATCACCTTTGTCTTTCCCCCATCCGTCCCAAGGCCATATCATTCTACATTCCCCATTACATCACTTCTTCCCAATCATAACCAGACTGTTTTACCATTGCTGAACAAGTTTCAGTGGGAGACAGTATGGTATCATAGAAAGAATCTTTGCTAGGAGCATGTTGACCCATGCTGAGTCAACCATGGGATTTTAGGGAACTCGCTCTTTCTATTTGGGTTTGGTTGCCCCATCTATCAGTCATGGTTGGTTGGACCACATGATATGCTAAATCTCTGTCTCTTGTTCTCAAATCTAGTAGATGCCTTTGACTCTCATCTTGGGTTTTGTGTTTTGGTTTGTCTGTTTCTTTGGGTTAATAATAACCCCTCCATCTTGAAATTCTCCTACTTTGGCTGACATTGTTCTCTCCGAGTGTCCTCCTTCCTCTTAGGCCACTCCTGCTGAGTCTTCTTAGGGGATCTCCCATCTCTACATATCCTAGCCCCATCTCATCATGTCCCAGCCCATTAACTATATTCTGACATATATTTTTTCAAAATTCACTTACTAATGAGTCTTCCTTTGAATCCCAAATGAAAATGTGTTCATACATTGAAACCTCCCATATGTTTATATAGATATATGTGTGTACATATATGTAGCTATAGATAGATATAGATATATCTGAATCACTGTGCTGTACACTTAACCCTAACCCAATATTGTAAATCAGTTACACTTTATTTTTTTAAAATTTCTTGGGTCTCACCCCAGTCCTGAATAAGAATTTCTGTTGGGAAGGAGGGCCTTCCCAGGTGGCACAGTGGTCAAGAATCCATCTCCAACACAGGAGATGTGGGCTCGATCCTTGGGCTAGGAAGATCCCCTGGAGTAGGAAATGGCAACCCACTCCAGTATTCTTGCCTGGAAAACCTCATGGACAGAGAAGCCTGGCGGGCTACAGTCTGTGGGGTCACAAAGAGTCAGACACCACTGACCACACATGCATGAATGGGGAGCGGGAAGGAGAAGAAGCTAGGACTCTGTCTTAATGAGCCCTCCAAGAACCCCTGACTTTGAAACTTTGAAAAGCACTGTTCTACACATTTAATTGGAGTGATCCCCTCCTTGCTCACAGCTGCAAATATACTTCTCTTAGAATATCCCCATGAGACTTCTCTACTAGGATGCCAAACTCATATATCTCACTTTCCACCAGACTTCACCATGGCTCTGCCCATGCCAGGTTGTTCAGAATATGAATCAAACCTCTCTGATTCCTTCTGCATTAGTTGTCTATCTCTAGTACCTAGCACATAGCAGACCCTTGTCAGTGACTCTTGAACAGTGAATTAATTGTCGAAACACTGATTCTATACATTGTTGCGGGCATATGATATCCCCCTAGTGGTTCATGTAGGAAATGCCTGAATTGACCCTGCATCTTCCCTATATATGAGGATCTCCTGTAGAAGGTAATCATCTAGGAATGGTCTGTTCTCCACCCTTTTCCTTCTCACCTTTCATGTAACTGACAACAGGCATTTCCTTTCCTCCTCAAAAGTCATTCCAAACTATCTTCATCTTTCCCACTTTCTTCCAGCTCATCCCGTTGCCTCAGAAAAAACTCTCCCTACCTCTTTTCCTCTCTGTTCCTCTTAAAAATAAAAAAACCAACCATGATTATGATTGATTCCTATGAATAGTGAAAGTTACATCAAGAAAAACATATGAGTTTGAGAATGAAATGAGGTAGGCAGCAGTCCTTAAATGGACTCAGAAATGCCTTTCCTCTTCTAGTTTGACTCTTACTGTAGGCCCCAGCATTTACAATAAATGAACCTTTTTCTGAATTTTTTTTCTCTCATTTACTAATATTGCAATGATATGGTTTGATTTTTACAACAGAGGCTTGTCCTTTCTGCTACAGTATAAGCTATTTAGGTCTATTAGGGGATAGCCCTATACGATTTAAAATTTAGCTATTGCACTTTAAAAAATAAGTTTAGTTTTGCAAGAATTTTCTTTATCTGCCATTGTTGGGATAAATTAAGCTACATGTAAAGCTGTGGTACGTGTGTTACCAACTTTTCCTTTCCTCATCAAGTTCATGGTTTGTTTTGTAATTGTATAAAATCGTATTTTAGTTTGAAATCACATCTGGAATATGGAGTATGAAACTCTTCCTAAAGCAGGAATCATGGGAATACAACTTGAATTTCACTGTGTTTCCACTTGTCTCTGGCAGAGGTCTTGGTGTTAAGGGAAGGGAACGAGTAAGAATCAAGCCAGGACAGCCACTGTGAGCCACGTGAGGAAAATAAATTAACGAATGAAAGTAAATTAGGTTTATTTTGTGTTTTGGCATTAACAGTTAAAGCCTGAAATGCAAAGGAATAATCAGCGCTGTGCTTCAGGTTTTCCTTATGTAGATAACACCAAGCTTCACACAGAATACTTAGTGAAATTTATTGGATTGAATTATACTGATCCTAAGGTCAGCGGTAGTACAGTGCAGCTAAGAACCTGGTCCATATTAAAGTTACTTAACTAATAAAAATGGGAAATTAATCCATCCATGAAAGCACCCATATGTTGATATAGATTTATATGGATATTTAAAGGTCTGTGTATTTTGATTGCCTCGAGTCAGCTTTAGCATTGGTAAGTAACAGGCATTTCTCCTGAAATGCTAAGTTTTTTAGTCATATTTACGAGGTAAGCAGATTTAAAATGCTTGCCCTAAAGTAAAACGGTCCTAGTTAAATGAGCAGCTCCTCCATAGAAAAATCTTTGTCACAATGGTTTTCCTAGATTGTGTTATATTAAGCAAGAGAATCTCATTTTATATAGTTGTTCCACTCCAAGCCCTTTCTTCAGATCTGATAACTGATGTTGAGAAATCAGAGCTAGGATAAGACCAATGAAACCCAACTCTTCAACTCTCTCATAAACTCTTCTGTGATGTTTATGCAGGAGGAAGTGGTAACTTTCTCATCTTCTCTTAAATCTCTCTAGGTATCAAACTGGTTTGGAAATAAACGAATCCGGTACAAGAAGAACATAGGTAAATTTCAAGAGGAAGCCAATATTTATGCTGCCAAAACTGCTGTCACTGCTACCAATGTGTCAGCCCATGGAAGCCAAGCTAACTCACCCTCAACTCCCAACTCAGCTGGTTAGTGTTTTCTTTGATTTGGGGGAATGGTTCTCCATTTTTATATGTACTTTCCCTACACTGGGGTTTTCTTGTTTTGGATGAGTTGATTTGTGTGTTTGATTGTCTTTTTTATCATTGATGCTACTTTGGGTTTTTCTTTTTATTTTCAAAACGCAATGTGTTTTGCTGTTTATAAGATAGGCTGGTCTGAGGGTTTGCAGTCATGTGTCTATTTAAGTTGGACAGAGGTAAATTGATTCGTTTTGATAAGGAGACCTCTAAATTCTCCTTTCAGAGATTTTAATAAGTAAGCTTGACCTAATACTTTGAGGTAGTCTCTTGGGGTTCACACATTTAGTTTGTCTTGTATATCTATTGCTGTTCCCATCACATGATGTCTGAGTCATTTCCTACCATGCATTCTATGCAGGAGTATTCACTCTTCTTTAAATATCTCATTAGAATGTTCTGGTCTGTAGAGCCAACTATGATTATTGCTATCAATTGTTTATTGTTGTTGTTCTTTACTGTTTTACTGTGTTGGTTTTCTTTATGTAAACTACAAAGAAAATTGCCAGTCATTAATTCAAATGATCCAGATTCCAATTTTCCTATTATAGTATCTGTCATGTGCTATGCTCCTGGTTTTATTTTAGCAAATGTGCATTATATCACTAATTTCAGAGTTAAGGCTAACATAATATGTTTTAGGAGTGTGCCGGTTCTTAATTTCCACATGTGAAAAAAAATCATCTGTAATACATAAAATATAACCTTGGTGTTTGTACGCTTGATATTTGTGGAAGGTATCCATGTTGGTGCTTTATTAAAGGGAAAACCAGAAGTATTTCTTATTAAATAATTATTTATGTATTAATAATTAATATTAATAAAAGGCAGGTTACAATATTTCTCCCCATAGTGAACCAGATGCATTGATTTTGGCTATGGGGTGCACATTTAAGAAAATTGATGCCTTCAACTTTAAAAGGTCACAGATTTAAATGTGTTAGGTCATAATATGATTTTTCAATCTAATTTCTAACATTTGGGGAGGTTTGCGGTATCTTTGACCTCCCAACTTGTTTACCCACTAAAATAAGCTATCTTTCTGCCTTATGGTAGATTGTTATTGGAGATATGTAAGGCTCCACACACTAATGTTTTCTGTGAGCTTCTGGACACTTCTAATTTGTTATAAGGTTCTCCAAGTCACAGGTCTGTACCATCACAGACTTCTTTTGTTTAAATGGAATCATGCAAGAAGAGTGGCCTGGGCTTTGTAAACATGGATATGGTAAGACAATGTAGAATTCAATCCAGTTTTACTTTACCCAGCACTCCAGATTAGGTAGGGAGCATATTTGCTTTTGGAGGTTTTGTGTATGAGTGTGTATTTCCTTCTTTTCTCATCAAAGTTTTGTTGACAAAAGGATCAAGACTAATAGGTTCAGTAACCAAAGAGTTTCCTTCTTTCCCATCTGGTCAATTATTAAACATTTCAGACCCAACAGCACCAGTTGAATTGCACTGCTAGGCAGACATTTTCACTTGTCTTTTTGGAAGAAGTTTTATTCTGTCAACATTAGCAAAAACACACTCAACACTCTTGCAAAGGTTATCATAATGCAAAACAGATATCAAAATGACTTTTTCCTGTCCCTGATATATCTGCCTCGCAGATGGCTTAGTATGATTTATGACTAGTCCTTAGAAGGGCCCCATGGACTCCCTTCATTACTAAGTCCGTAACTTCTTTATTCTTTCCTAAAGCACTTAAAAAGAGAAAAGTAAGCATTTTAACCCCCTCGTCTGTGTTTAAGAATTATGTTGGCTCTCTTGGAATGTCAGTCTATGATTACAGTTTTCTGAGGAATTTTTCTGGTGGCTTAACCTTCATGTGACTATTCTGAGCACAAAGTAAATTATTATGGAAAATTTGAGCTAAGTTTTCCATTGGTGCCTGAGTTGTTGGAAATAATATGCAGAGAAATCCCTTTGTATTTTTCTAAAATAGAGACAAAAAAAAATACTATTGTATGTGTGCAATAGCATGGAATTTTAAAAGATAAATGTTCTAACAAAAAAATTTATAAATGGGTTTTTCTATATTTTCTTTGCTCTTAACACAACCCAAATCTCTACTCAGATAAAGGGAGAACTTTCAGCTTTTCACATAGTGTGTTTATAATGTTGTATACCAGCTCCTTGATAATGTCAAAGAGTAAATGATAACTGATAGAGCAAGTTTTAAATAAGAGGATAGTAAGCGAAAATATATTTTGTTTGAGTTTGAAGTCCAGAGTTCTGAAACCTGGAAACTTTTTATATCCTCAGTATCAAAGCAAGAGTTTTTCCCAGAAGCTTTACTAAATATAAATACTTATTTCTAGCAAGATATTTTGCAAGTAAATCTTCTTCCTTATAGAGGCTTTTGTGTGGAGAGCAGTATTTCACCATCTTTATTTAGGCCACTTCTAAATATTCCTGTTTGTTGTTATATGCCCAGCCTCCTATTTCCTTAGGCATGATTCATAAAAGTCACACAGGGCTAAGTCCTGTGAGGAATTAGCAAGCATTTAGAGATACTTGGAATGCTTCATATTTTATGCCAGCAGACCTGGGCAAAATGGATGGAACAAGGATGAAGAATAGAAAGAAGACAAGAAAATTAATTGTTTTGAAAAAAAAAATGGAGACCAATTGAAGCATACTTATAACCCTGGGTTCGTAATTCTGGAGTGAACTAAAGTGATGCCTTTTCAATTTCTTATTTCTGATGGACTGATGAAAGCCAGAGTTAATATGTCAGAAAAATCAGGCACTTTTAGGAAGGTTGGATTATCTACTAGGAAAAGTTGGAGAACTTTTTAATATCTAAGAAGAAAGAAATTGGCTTGTGGGTTATAGATGTTTTCTGTAGCATGGTATCAACATTGATATCTTATCAGAATCTGTGATGAGCTCGGCAGTCCCTGTTTTTTCGAGGCTCAGCGCCCATAGGTTAAATCATTTTGTTTAGCTTTGTGTGTGTATGTCAAGGACAAAGGAGATTCAGCCATGACAATTCTTCCGCTGACACTACAGTGGCAAGCTCTAAACTCTTTTATATATTCTTACTGTACTCCTAAAAGGAAGTTTGGTGTTTTGCGGGATTGGTGGAAGATTATCATATTAAAATCTCTGGACGCTGGCTCCCTAACAGAAGTTGATATATAGCACACATGGCCAGAGAGAAGGTGACACATCCAGAGAAGTTTACTGACACTTGCGCTAAATCTGTAGACACCCGCATGGTTTTGTGTTTTAAAACCAAGAGAAAGAATGTATCCCATTGATGTTTTCTGCTGTGTCCCTTCTTCCCATGTTTCTACCCTTAATCTCTCAGTGGAGGATGAAGACACAGCCTCCTGCAAGTGCAGCTGCTAAAGCGGTTTCATACTGAACTAGATAAACGTTCCCTCTTGTACTTTGCCCTGAGTAGAAAGTAACAATGATTATTTGATTTTGAGAAGGGAAAATCATGGAAAATAGAGAAATGAGCATGATAGAGTTAAGCTTACATTGAGCAAACAGGCTCTGTCTTCCAGCATTCAAATGGTATAGGAGTCCAGTCTGATCAGACTGGCTCCCTATTCTATGTGGAGCTTTGATGTCTAGACTGCAGAATTTAAGGCAACACTTGCCATTCGTCTGCTTCCTAAAAATGCTGTGAGTTGTAATGAGCTAATATTGTAAACACCCTGAGTTCCTTAGGAAGGAAAAGGAAATCCATTTTTGTTTCAGGTCACTGGTTCTCAGTTGGGGTAAACTTGACATTCTTGGCTGTCACAGTCGTCGGGGGAAGGCGTTCCTGGCACCTGTTGGACAGAGGCCAGGGATGTGTTTGACCATCTTATGATACATAAGATACTCCTCTGCAATGAAGAATTATCAGGTCGAAAATGTGAATAGAGCCAAGGTCAAGAAACTCTGCTCTGGGTTTAGATTTTATGATTATTATACTTTTTTTTTTTTTGGATTTTGAGGTTAGCTGAGTTTTTGTTTTCTAAAGAAATTTAATTCTGGAAACTCTTTAGAGTAAAAATAGAGTGTTCAGGAAATTGTCTTATGAAAATGGATGTTAACACATCTCCACATTGTGTTTGAGTGAGCAAATGCATCAAAATCCATAGGTGATCTATTACTTCTCTGTTTAGTTGAGTGCAAATTTAGTTTTGTATATGCCCCCCAATGTCTAGATTATAGTGTAAATGAGCCACTTGCCTCCCTCCCCAAGCCAAATTCAGAACCATTTAACTGGTAGGCATATCTTAAATTGTGCTTCTAGTCTTTGCCATTACTTTATAGCCACCGGCAGGTAAGGGTTCAGACTGACATTCTCAGCAAACCAGGTGATTCTGTTTTAGTTCTTTGAGAATTCCACAGCACCTCTGAGAGAGCCCATGTACTATTTGTCTATGGGTCACATCCTTCCCAGGAGGTTATCCAATCTAGTATAAGTTCTTTCCAACTTCCAGTGCCAGATGAAGACTGTGTCTTCCCATCATTATTTAGCTTTTTGTGTGGCCTTGTGTCTGCTCCATTGCAATATTCGTGACACCAACTCTCTCCCCTCAGTGCAATGACTGCCTCTGGATACTTATCAGAGAGGCAGAAACCGTGGCGCTGTTGTACACGGCTGTGCAGAGACGATGAAATGCTGAAACAGCTCGGCCAAAAGCACAGGGACTCCTCTGCAATTGCTGCTCTGATTCAGATTCATTTGTACATGAAGTACATTCATATGTGCATATTTGTCTCTATGTACATTAGGCAGCCAGACATATTTACAGTTTATCTATGCACATGTATTTTTTTTAAATCATCTGTGTCAATTGCAGTGTCTGTCTTGTAAATGGCACATTCCGTGCCTTCATGGTTCTATGGATGCCGTGTTCCTTGGCGTCAACATAGCCCTTTGGGGCTTTCTTCCATTTCTCAGTCTGTGTGCTAATTTCCAATAAAGAGTCAACCAAGCATATAGAGTGTCTGTTTATTACATGGTATTTGGTTGGGAGAGAAATAGAATACCTGAGCTTCAAACTGAATACTCTCAGGGTAAAAAAATCTGATTCATAAAAACAATTATCATTTGGGTTCTCAGAGTTGCCGGGTCTTGACTCTGAGGACATCTGCATGTGGGCATGTGTTGTAATACTATAAAGGTATTAAATGCTATTTAGATTATGTTGCTGTGGTCGAAAGAAAGATGTGAGAGGGATGTAACTATAGATCATATATTATATATCTTAACATAAGAATGTGATCTGTGCTATGCACTACTTCACCTACGTGTTAGGGAAGACTCTTTGCCAGATTTGCACCACATTAATGGAAGGAAAGCCCAGACCAAAGCCTCCGCCCACTGACTGGGTATAAACCATACCTGACCAGATCTTGTACTTACTTTGCCTAAGACCCAACTTTTTTAATTCCTTTCAGATAAACTAAACCTAGAAATGTGTGCCAGATGACATACACAAGACATGCTGCAAAGCCATGAGAATGTCATAGTTCTTTGGATGGTGCTTGCCTTGTCCCCTACCCCTCAAAGCAGTCCCTTTTTCACAGGAGAAGGGAATAAGAGTGGAGGATCTGTCTACATAGAATATTAATACTGAGCTGGTTCCTTGCATATGGATTAACACCCCAAAGAACAAAGCAGGAAGGAGATGTTTCTTAACTTGAGGTTTTCCCCAGGTAGATTGTCCTCAAGTAAATCATCTGGTCACTAAATGACTCTTATCTTGGAAGGATGAGGGTACCATGAAGAGTTAAGGAAAGTGGCAGAGTTTAGAAATCACCGCTAGTTAAATGGTCCTTCCATGGAACAAACAAACAAACAAACAAAAAAAACCTCCTGTTCTGCTTAGCTGCAGCTCTTCATGTGAGATGAGGCAGCTCTCTAGGATAGCACAGATCCCCATCTTGGGAGAAAAGAAAGAGTCAGAGCTGGGGCATGAATCATTGTTGTGTGATTCCACACGGATGACGGTGGTCTCAGAACTCAAGGGCAGGAGTGCAATTTGAGCACTAAAGGGATGGAAAAAATAGAGTGGAACTGACCTGGGTCCCTGAGGTCTCTCCTTTTCCAGGCTAATGTCATGTTTTAACCAAACCTTGCACGTCAAGCTTTCTTTCCTAATGCGCTGAGCTGCACGATGACTTCAGAATAATAATAAGTTTTTCCACAGCCTTGCGTTTAGGTTGAGGGGGGGACTAGGTTTACCATAGTGGAACCAGTGGAGCCCGGGTGGTGCCTGCAGGCTGAGTCTGGGAGAAAACGTCATCTCTAGGAGGTGAAAACAGATGGTTAAATACTCTTCTGGAGACCCACTCGATCATTATTATTATAATTTCATATTCCGTGCATGCCTGAGAATTCCTGGTTCAATTTCTGTCTCATCTTCCTCCACAATGGCAGGTGGCAAGAAGAGCATATTATTCCCATATATTTTTGCAGTCTTCTTGGCTCTCTTAGACTGTTTGCCACCCAGAAGGAGACATCATCTTCTTTCTAGAAAGTCAGGAATGTCAGTGACTTGTATCCCAGAGCCAGCCCTACTGTGCAGCGTTGCCTTTGTGCCCTCCCACCCCCAGTTCTGCTCCTCACATGAGGGTAGATGGGTGTAGCTTTAGCTTATTTAGAATCTGGCTGACAGCTGCTCCATCATGGTGGCTGAAGTATCACTGACCAGCCCATAGTCTCCAGCTCATGGTCCCCCAGCCAGTCCCAGAATTTTAGAGGCACGAAAGAGGGATCCAGTGGCTGGAAACTGTCTCCAGTTCAAATAGACCAAGTTGAGAAAATACATGTTTCCTTTCTCAACTTAAAGTTGCGAAGGGGAGTCAGTCCTACAGGCAACTTGCAGGGAGATGTGGGCTTTACATAACATGAATGATATGCACCCTTTATTGCTTGCTCTGTTCTTCATGCTACTAACCAGACTCTGTTGATATTGTTTTGATTTTAGTTTTGTTTGGGGGGGTTGCTTTGCATGTCGTTCTTCCTCTTGGCTGTTAGTTGCGGGGGTTGAGCCTTTTCCTTTCTGTGATTCAGGTGCCTCACTCTTTCCTTTCCAGGTTCTTCCAGTTCTTTTAACATGTCAAACTCTGGAGATTTGTTCATGAGCGTGCAGTCACTCAATGGGGATTCTTACCAAGGGGCCCAGGTTGGAGCCAACGTGCAATCACAGGTAGGGACCCAGCCAATGTGCCGCCAGGTGAATGCCTTAGAGTCCAAGAGCCGTCAGTCGGATCGGCACTTCCTGCTTCTGTCCAGACAGAAAGAGACAGAGAGATGTAGAGACAAAACCTTACCGACAACCAAACCAAAACAAAGACAACCACTGTCGTGGGGAATCTTGTCCACACTCTGTGAGTGCATTTGGCTCTGGCTTGTCAGTCGTACGAGGAAGGCAGGAGAGGAGCAAGCACAGGGTGAGGTGACCGAGGCGAGTGGACCCCGTGTATTCTTGGCTCACAGAAGGGAAAGGGAGGAGTTCAGGCTATCGGCTTGCTTTCCAGGTCTCTTTCTTGTTTGTTGGTTTTTCCACACTCAACGTCTGCCCAATATGGAGGTCATTAATGACTAGGCACATACCTTAGTATCTCAGGTTTTCATGTTAACCTTGAAAAATACCCAGTCAGGTTGACTAAATTCATCTTTGCAGTCATCCTTGAGGTCAAGAGACTTGAGTGTCTGGTGACAAGTCTGGTCCATGCCGGGAAACAAAACTCAAGTTGTGTGGCGTAAGCCCTCAGCACGCCTTAGTCAGCAGCTCACCTTCACGACAGCTCAGAAGCCATCCTTCTGTGTGAGCACACAGCCTGACGTGACAGGGTGACGCTGTGGGCTCTGGGTCAGGGTCGCTAGGGCGATTCTGAGCCACGCCCACCCAGGGTCCCACCTGCATGAGGAACAAGAAGCATTATGTGCCTGGCATAGACTAACCAGCTGGTGATTCAGCCCCTTGCTTTGGAAATGTTGCCTGGCACCGAGTTTGAAGATACATAGTCAGGCTTTGGCCAAATGACTAGACAACTGGCCATTATTTAAGTCCTCAAAAAGACAGCATTAGTCGCACACTGTTCTCTCTGTGAGGTGGCTGGCTGGCCCTTCTAAACCGAACCTTGACTTTTATAAGCTCCTGAGCAAAGAAGTTATATAGGACGATCTGGAGAGAAGGGAAAAATCTTTGAATCTCCCCACTCACCCACTCCATCACCCAATCCCTGCTGTCTTATGCAACAGTAGTTTCATTGTTGGGAAACCCAGCTTCCTTTGACCGTTTTTCTGTCTTGCTTACTAAGCTCAGAAAGGATACTGGATTTGGCATGGAGTGGAGGCCAGCCTCCTAATGGTTCCTTTCCCAGGAAGAATATCTCCAGTGGTTGCATTAATTTGGCGTGCGGTAGCCTGTGTGGTGATGAGCTGTGTCCCTTACGCTGCACCTCTCTGACTAACCTCCTCTCTGTTCGTCTGTTTAGGTGGATACCCTTCGCCATGTTATCAGCCAGACAGGAGGATACAGTGACGGACTCGCTGCCAGTCAGATGTACAGTCCGCAGGGCATCAGTGTAAGAAAACAAGGCTCCCCCGCCCTCTGTTTCTGTTCTATCACTGCCAATTATTTCAAAGCCATAGGGCTCAGAATGCCACTTAGTAGGACTTATCTTAGCTTTACGGTCACCTAGTTTCTTGTTTCTGTATCAGTCATGCCATCGGCAGCATTCTACCCTCAAACAACGTGGCGGTTGGGCAGGCTTCATGCAGGCAGCTGGCGTCTAGGGCTGTCAGACACAATCAGCGTCTGCATGGCACCTGCGGCCACATGCTTTCAGCTGAGGGGGGCTGCCGAACAGGTGACACCTAGCAGAGGGGTAGGAGATGTCGCCACAAGCGGGGACCCGAGAACCTGGTGGGGGAAGACCGGTAACCAGAATCCCTTGCATCCTGGTCTGTGGTCTTTAAAAAACACCTTTCTCCCATCTAAGGATGATTTTTAAAAAATTAACGCAGAGGCTGGCGATGTTGAAGGGGTGGGGGGGGGTGCAGACCATCTTCTACTTGTTCTTGGGTGCACTGGCGGCTCCTGACTAGCATGAAAATTCATAGCGACAAGCTATGTCGCACAGAGTGAAATCGATCAGACAGACACACGGAGAACCGAGTGTAGATTTGGGACAGCAATCCAACTTGATTTCTCAGATCAATCGTCCGCTATCTCAGCAGCAGTGACAGCAAGCTGGGGCAAGAGGGCAGTCTGGAAGAGGAGGCTGTTCTTTGGATCAGGGGTGATTTCCTAGGCTTTTAGAGGTCATGAGATGCTCCAGTAGAACTATTGGCTCAGAGCTAGCTAGGGAAACTATGATTGGATGATGGTGAGGATTTTTTTTTTTTTTTTCGTTTCTGTTGTTGGGATTAAAATACATTAGGGATGGAAAGAAGGAAAGGTGGGCATCATATGTTAGTGTAATCCTCGCCTATACTAATTGAGGTATGGCATCTGCAGTGGAAATAGTGAGAGCTTTTCAACTCTACATTGGGGAAATTGCACATGACGATAGCCAGACTGGAAGGAAACAAGAGGCTACCAGCTGTGTCATCAGAGGAGGAGTGGTTGAAAAAATTAGGAATTCTTAACCCATTAAAGAGAAGGTTTGAATGGTAAGTAAGAGTTTGAGACATGGCGTCATCTGTGAGATATTGGCTTCATTCTGAATGATCTAAAGGGAGTAGGGTAGAATCCTGAGTAGAAACATTTCACTTCAACATCAGAAGGTCCTTTCTTACAGTCAGCGCTGTCCAAAGAAGGGGTCTCTTGCCTATGGAAGCCAAGGATTCCCCGTCATTGGAGCATTCAGGCCTGGTTTGGCTAACTATTAATACTTGGTCAGGATGTTGTGGAAGAGGGTTAAGTACCAGGTGGTGACTGTCTTGGTGACTTGGAAGGCCCCTTCCAAGTAAGAATTCTTTATTTTCTACCTTCCTTTGGCAAAATCTCCTCTGAATTTCTGTAATATTTGTCAAGTTCCTCTCTGGGAGGGAAGTGGGAGGTCAAAGCTGACCCTGTTAAACATACTCTGGGCACCTGTGTCTGTTTTTTAGGAGTTTCCAGAGCAGAAGGATTTTTCCCTTCTTGTGCCTATACTAATTATTATTCCTATATTCATGGCTGACTTGCCAGGTTCCTGCTTAGAAAAATCCAAGACAGTATGATGGAGAATTCTGTTCTCAAAAATGGATTCCAAATGAATTAAGTTGTTCTGTGTTGGGGGAATGGGGGTTGTTCAAGTGCATAGGCGTGTATACATTGGCTGGATCTTTTTGAGCTGGAAAAGTTTTGCTCTGCGTGTAAGTGGATGAGAGGAACATGATGAAGGATAAGAGTGTGGGGAGGAGACTGTGGACACACTCAGAAAGAGAACTGAAGAAACGCTACGTGACTGGGCAGGAAGTTGGGCTGACAGCTCGGCTACTTGGCATCTTTCCTAATTGGGCAGCACAGAAGAAAGCCGCTCTCAGACTCAGGGGGCTCAACGTGGGCCCCTCTGACGTCATCTGGTGGGCTGGGAATCATTTCTGAAATAGTGTAGCCACACATGTGCAGACTATTATGTCTGATTACATAAACCCACCACAAAAACTGGGCTGGAAAATGCCACTTGAAAGAGTCTCATTTTGCATTAATTTTTTTTCCCCTGTGAACTGTGTTTATTTTATTTCAGGGTCTTTAATACACAGGGTAAATGAATCAAAGGCTGATCATGATACGGTCTGTTCCTTTGGTATCAGTTTTAAGTTGTGTCACCTGCAGGACACTAAGCTTGTCAGAGCTATTTTTAGAGAGTGATATTAGATGCTGAGATATGTACAGAGAGGGTACTGGCTGCTAGGAGGAGAGAGAGAGAGAGAAAGGAGTGAGATGAGAAGAGACAAGGACAGGAATGAAAACTTTGAGCCAAGGAATAAAAATAAACAATTCCAAAACCCAAGGAGGCAATGGAATTCCCAGCTGGGCTCTGGATTGTGTTTCACTCAGTGGAGGACATTTTCTGGGCAGCCTTCATCTGCTCTCCTGCCTAGGTTTTTACAGCGCCCACGTCGTATCCAGCCAGCATCTATTTTAAATCTCATGGAGTTCAGACCACTTGCATTAACTCAGCCCATGCAGCAGTGGGGTCACAATGTGCCGTGCTGAGAACGCTGCCCTGGGAGTTGAGAGACTCTGGTCCTTGTTACTCTCGTGTCCATGCGCAGGCATCAAACCTTGTCTTTTATAAAATGGGGTAGTAATTCCCACTCTTAATACCTTCGTGGCTGCTTTAGGGGAAATGAGAACATAGGTAGGAAGGGCTTGGCAAAGCATCAATTGTTGCACATGAGTGCAGAGGAAATGTTGTAAGTGGTAACTTTCTAATTTGCCCTTTTCCCTGTGTGTGAGCAGTTGTCCCAGTAGGTAGTTCCTGGTGAAGATAGGTTAGGACACAGTTGTCAATTTTTTCCTCTTCTGATGGAAAGGTATGCCTCTGAAAAGGATACAGAGCTAGACAAGGCTTGAGGACCCCCGTCCTCAGCCATGGTGAGCGTAAAATTACACCTCCTCACATGCTTTGTGTTCCCAGATGACAACGGGCCATGTTCACTGGGTTTAGAGTGGTTCTAAGAGATGGAGGGAGACTAGTGCACTTCTCCGTCCATCAGACAGACTGAAAAGATCACTTAGCTCTCAAAGCCACTCTTTCCTTTCCCATGACCACCACCCTCCTAGAAAAGTTTATTAGCTAGGCTATTGTGAACATTTCTTAATTACCATTACTGCCTTTAGTGTCTCCTTTCTCTTACCCACATCCCCTGAATTTTGTCATTCCTTGCCCAGAAATCGTGAGCACCTCTCTATTGCCCACCTAAGAAAATGCAGTCCCTGAGTCTGACATTCAGAATCCTCCACTCTCTGGCCCCATCTACCTATCCATCCCCCTCATCCTGTCATCCAGTAATCTTTGGATGCCAGGCAATGTGGTCAGCTCACCTTTACCTGGCTACACATATCCCCTACCTTCACACCTGTGTGTCATCTATGGAAATATCCTTTCTTCCTGTATTACCTTCCCTGTCCCACCCACTCCCCCACATCCCACTGTCTGTCCCACACCCAGTTCCTCCTTGCTGTGTGTCTTCTTAACCCTCCTTTCCCTCCTCTCTATCATACATACACATTCCCTTGCATTACAGATATGTGCACAGACACACTTCACGCTCTTTCATTCCCAAATGCATGTCCTATGGGATATATTATATTGCTCAGAACATGTTTGTTGAATGAATAAATCAGATAGAAGGAGACAAGCTACCACTGAACTTTAAAATGCCACATCTTACATAACAGCTGTAAGGGATCCAGTAATGACTTTTCTCTTAAATGACTTACTAACTTACAATAGGCTCTCTTTTTAACTCAAAAAGCTTTTTAAGTATTTGTTTTTGGAAAAACTTTTTGACCAAGGCAAATTCTCTGAGAATAAGAGTCAGATCAGCATTAAATAAATTAAGCTGTACAGTGATGATATTTTCAAGAGAATTATCACTTTGGATTCCTTAATGCTATCTTTCCTAAAAGAATCCCCTTACCAAAACCTGTTTGTGGGCTAGCCATCCACATAGCAAGAGAATATCTTTTCTTTTTCTAAAAAAATTTATTGAACTATAGTTGATTTACAATATTGTGTTAATTTCTTCTGTACAGCAAAGTGATGCAATTATACATATATATATACACACACATTCTTTGTCATATTCTTTTCCATTATGGCTTGTCACAGGATGTGGAATATAGTTCCTTTGGCTATAAGTAGGACCTTGTTGTTTATCTATCCTATATATAATAGTTTGCATCTGCTAATCCCAAACTCCCAGTCCTTCCTTCCTCTCCACCCCCCAGTCCCCCTTGGCAACCACAAGTCTGGAGAACATTGGTTTTTATGGGGTTCTCAATGCTGTCTCTACCAGACTTTGGACCAGAACCTGTACGAACAGGTTGAAGGTGGCAGCAGCTGGAAGTCAGGAAACGTGATTCTTCTTGTGGCTTCATTCTGGCAAGTCTCTTCGTCTCTGTATCATTCATCTGTCAAATTTTCCCAGTGAATAAGCTCTCAGGTCCTTTCAGCTTAGTTAATTCTGGAGTCCTACAAGTATGTTGTTTGATTTCTCCTGTTCACTCCAGGGACACCAGGCTCAACCATAGGCTCCTCTCGCCAGACAGCTTTTTCACTTGAGTTAGCCTCCACCATGCCTCCTCACTGCTCCATCACCTACCCCTCTGATCGGATCTTGAGGGAAGGAGAGAGCTTGCCTCATGTGAACGTCTCCCTTTGAATTCAGAGATTGGTGGTGGCAGAAAGCATTCAGTTTTTAGAGTGAAATAATTTATTTTTAATTATTTTAGAATGTGACTTAAGTGAGTAAGTTCACTCCAGTCCCCTCTTAAACATTGGTAAGATAACCAATGTAAGAGTTTTCTTACTCAAAAGATGAAGTGAAAATGGAAATAAAGTGTTGGTATTCTCTCTATAAAGGC